TTCCTAATGCTACAGAAGATAAAGGAAAAGTGCTAAACTTTTGACTTCACTTGACTCTTCTCGTTCCTCTCCTGGTAAAATCAGGCCTTTTTTTTTGTTTTTCTGTATTCTACTTAGCTCAGCAGGTCCAAGTGTAACAACTGCCATTTGGGAGCATAGCTGCTGCATTCCCATTTCCTATCACTGAGATTATTTGCATTGAACTCCCCACTGCAGGTATGATTCAGAGCTTGCCCCCAGTCATGCCTCCATAAAAGCGGGTTCATGGGAGAGACTTAGGGTTTCTGTTGTGGTGAAAATCTGGCCCTAAGTGATTATCTTAGCTGCACTGCTGAAACCAGACTCTGCTCCTTGGGATAAGAGTGAATCTACTCAGTTATGCTCCAGAGATTGCTTTCACTGAAGTGTTTTTAAAATTTAAATAAAAATGAAGTGACACGCATCTCAGCAGTTTGACCTTAATACAAAACCTTTTTCCAGGAATGATGGTATTCCAACCGTTGTACCACTCTGTTTACGTTCAAGAGTGGTCAAGCAATTGCCTGCTCTTTATACATTGCTCAGAACCTTGCAATCCGTTGAGTAAGAGAGCTTCCTTGGGGATGTCAAATGATTTGAATGACCTAAAATAGTTACCTTTTGCTCCAATTGCAAAGTGTAAGCGTTAACATCTTGTAAACAAGGCATGATCTGTGTGACCCTGTGAAGCAAGATGACAGTCTCCAATAATACTTTGCTTGCTAACAGTTCAATTTGTGAGTTTTGAGAATCGTAAGTGTTCAAGTTTGTGCTCCACAGTTTAAGCTTTGTTAGTGACCTTTCTGTTGGATTAGTATCCAGGAATAAAATAATTAAGATGTATATTTTTTAGAAATGGATGTTACGAACCAATTTCTTAAAGAATAATTGTAATAAATTCTGCTCAAGTAGAATTATGTTTGAAACAAAGATACTGATATTATAATTTCTAGTTGTTTTTCATTACGTTTGAGAAAAGCTATATGCTTGCAGATAAGATGAACTTCACCCCCACCTCCTACAGCATGTCATTTAACCACAACAGCAACTTGCATTTAGTATCTTTTTAAAGTAGTAAAATATTGCAAGGTGCTTCACAGGAGTGTAACAAGACAGAAGTTGATATGGTGACATTAGGACAGGAAAAGAGCTGGTTTCTATCACCATCTTGAAAGAGTTAGAGAAATACTGATTTGATGATTAAAGGGTTGGCCAAGACATGAGGGATAAGTCCCTGTTCCTCTTCAAAGCAATGTTTTGGGATCTTTTACAACTATTTGAGAGGGGATATATTTGATTCAATGTCTTATCCAAAAGTCATCACCTCTAATAGTGCAGGACACCCTCAGTACAAGACCGAACTATGGACCTTAATTTTGTGTGTTCAGGTCTTTGAGTGCGATTTGAACCAGGCCTTGTGACTCCAAACAAGAACAAGAAAGCCACAGCAGACCGAGTTTGTGAATACAGCTTGGTCTGTCTTTGATGTAATTGTTTCTAAAAGGAAAATATGAAGGAACATACGACATTTTTCTTTCTTCCGTCTCACATCACTTTTTGCTTAAAAATAGGGAAAAATATTGCAAGCTTTATATGTTAACGTTATTAGAGTGTTCTATTTGAATTTTGTAAAACGGTTTTCCACTCCCATCTTTAAAAAGAAGTACACCTCAGCTCTTTGAATTTCACTTGTGTTGGACCACATTGCGATTGGACTTGTAATCACCAGGCCTGTCTAGATATTGTTACGTGGAAGCAAAATATGGAGTTACCGTGAGTTGTCTATTGGTGTCTTGAAATTGTTATTGAATTAAGTTTGAATAAAGTTAAATTCTTCTTCCAACAGTGAAAATGATGATAATCTCATTAAACATTCTGATGCTGGGGAGTCAGCACCAACCAAGAGCAAATTGAAAGGAGAAGACATAGAAAAAGGTACGTGTAGCTCTAGAGTGAACGTGAGAAGAATAATCCATGTTAATTGAGAGAGGCCTGTTACCCAGGGCATCACCTACATTTGTAATATGCCCAGTTTGGGTTCTGCCAGGGCCAGCTCCTGATCTTATTATAGTCTTGATTTAAACATGGACAGAAGCGTGGAATTCTAGGGGTGAGGTGAGAGTGACAGCCCTTGAAATTAAGGCCGTATTTAACTAAATGTGGCATCAGGGAGCCCTAGCAAAACTGTGGAATCAGTGGGAATCGGGGGCAAAGTGTACACTGGTTGGAGTCACACCTGGCACATAGGAAGATGGTTGTGCTTGTTGGGAGTCAGTTAGAAATTTGCTGATGATTGCACAATGCTCAACACCATTCACGATACCTCAGATACTGAAGCAGTCAGTTCAAATGCAACAATATCCAGTCTTGGGCTCACAAGGGGCAAGTAACATTTGCGCTGCACAAATGCCAGGCAATAACCATCTCCAACAGGAGACATCTTAACTACTGCCCGATGATTTTCAATGGTGTTACTATCACTGCATCCCCTGCTATCAACATCCTGGGGGGTTACCATTGACCAGAAACTCAACTGGACTGTCCATATAAATACAATGGATACTGGAGCAGGTCAGAGGCTAGGAATACTGTGGCGAGTAACTCACTTCCTGTCTCCCCATCTACAAGGCACAAGTTAGGAGAGCGATGGAATGCTCCCCACTTTCCTGTTTGGGGGCAGCCTCAACACACTAAGAAGCTTGGCACCAGCTAGGACAAAGCAGCTGGCTTGATTGGCACCACATCCACAAACATCCACTCCCTCCACCATTGATGCTCGTTAGCAGCAATGTGTACTGTTTATAAGACACACAACAGAAATTCACCAAAGATCCTGAGACAGTACCTTTCAAACCTAGGACTACTACTATCTAGAACAACAAGGGCAGCAGATAGTTGGGAAAACCCATCACCTACGTGTTTCTCTCCAAGCCACTCACTGTCCTAAATTGGAAATACATCATCATTCTTTGTGTCGCTGGGTGAAAATCCTGGAATTCTGTCCCTGGTGGCATTGTGTAGGTCTACCAACAGGACATGGACTGCAGTGGTTCAAAAAGACAGCTCACCACCACCTTCTCAAGAGCAACTAAGGATGGCCAATAAATGCTGGTAGCTGGCAATGCCCACATCCCATGAGTGAATTTAAAAAATATATCAGTGATATGTTGCAGTTATGGTTGCCCACGTGGTGTGTCCCATGCCCCTTCCTCTCCATATTAGAAGCAAAACTGGAAGGTACGCAAAGCTAAGCTGTTGTTCTCTACCCAAATAAATAGAGTTTTGCTGACTATCTTGCAGGTGCCAATGTCACAGCTCAGGTACACTGGAAACACTAAGACTAGAAGTGGAGGCTGCCCATTGAAGCTGGTTGAGAAACCACTGGACAAGTTCCAAACCTAGGTTTCAGCAAGTGAATGTTTGATGAGTTGATCTTGCTCTTGGTGAGATTGGTTGAGGGAGAATATTGGCGGTTTGTTCAGAGGGCTCTGTGTTAGTCTTTCAGTAACATTGGGGAACGTAAAGTGCCAGGTGAGGTACGAGTGTAACACCTTGACCGAAGGGGAATATTGTCTAGATTATATATAGAAAAGGTTCCTTTTTACTGCAGCAAAGCTCAGAATGAATTGTTCGTGCTTACGGAAGAGATGCAACTGAAATGTTGAAATATTATTGGAATTTGAATTAGAAATAGTTAACATACTTCCCTTGGATTTGACTTTACTGTTTACTAGATGCAGCATTTTGTGACATAACCGTATTATAGAGACCTGTGGAGCAGGTGCAGCAACACTAATGTGTAATTTCTTGCAATGGTTTTCTTTAATAGCTAATTCGATGGGCTAAAGGAGGAAGTCTTGATTCAGCAAGCAATTAGGAAGACAAGTAGCGTGTAGGTTTTTGGTGCAAAGGGATTAGAGTAGAAGAGTAAGGAAGTCTTTCCACTGGTGTAAAGGACTTTGAGCACTCTCAGCTTCCATATCAAAGGAAAGAAGTACTAGTCTTAATGGCAGTAGAGCGAAGATCTACTAGATTGGTTCTTTGAGCCTGACTGTGTTGGACCTTTACTCTCTGGAGTTTAGAAGATTTAGAGTTGATTTGATTGAAACATACAGGATTCTGAAGGGACTTGATGAGATCAACACAGGTTGCTATCCCTGGCCAGGATATTTGGAGCACAGGAACACAGTCTCAACATATTTAGCAATAATTTAGGACTGAGATGAAGAGAAATTTCTTAATTCAGATGTTTGTGGATCTTTGGAATTATCTACCCGAGAGGATTATGGATGCTCCATCACTGAATACATTTAAGGATATTTGATCAGAGAATCAGGGATATGGGGAGAGGCAGAAAAGTGGATCTGAAGCAAAGGATCAATCATGATTATACTGAATGTTGGAGCAGTCTCGTGGGAATGTAAGGTCTATCGCGCGTCCTTGTTCTTGTGTTTAAGTAGCAAGTGGGAGACAGAGAGAGAGAGAGAGAGAGAGAGAGAGAGAGACAGCACCATAATAATGGAGTATCAGATCTTTGTGACGTCTCCAGGTGCTTCTAATCACGTTCAAAGATCACTGTTATGCAGACAAATGTAAAAGCTGGTCTCTGTGGAACCAGTTTGCCTAAGCAACACATGAGATGAGCATCTCTTAGATGCTGTGTTTATCTCAGATTGCAAGTTTCTGAATATTGTGAACTTTAACATTTTCATTTAGCTAGTATTTCACTTATCAGGCTTGCTGTTGTTTTGGAGCACAGCCTGGGTTTATCTCTGTATGACATAGTGAATCCTGGAGCTATTTTAATGGAATGAATCAGGTTCTCGTTGAAATCAGAACAGATCCCTCATCACCTGGTTTAGAGTTGCTTTAAGCTTTTTCAATACTCTTCCCTTGATGGTAGGCTACTGTTCTCTGCATTATGCTTCACATAAAGGGACAGGATTTGTTAATGTTGCCTAATATTTCCAGGCTTGCTAATTAGAAACTTTTTTTTATTGGGAAGATGTGCCTTGATACATCTAGTGACCAGTGTTCTAGCAATGTTAGATGCTTTTAAGTAAGGCTACCAATTTTAGACCTCTGTTGCTTACAAGACAGATTCATTTTTAAAAATGATCTACTCACAGAAACCAGTGAATGTGAAGATAGTGGAGCTCAGCAGAATTTGGAGCACAGTGCAGCTAACACAGAGGTGAGAATAAATGTATTTCTTAATTCAACCTGTAACCTTAATGAATGCAACAAGTATAATGTTTTAATAGAAGCCAAAGCTGTCTATGAAGATGTGCACCTTTTAATTGTTCTCTGTTAGAAGTGATCTCAGCAGATCTTGTTAAACGAAGATTGACCAAACCTAACTTGGATTAACTCTCTAAGGAGCTAGGTTAGAAGGTCTTGAATTCAAGTGCAAATCTTACTGGTCACAAATGCTTGTATTCTTGAGTTTGTTTTCACTTTGGAGGCTGTTATAAAATGTTATGTGGAAAATACAGCCTTCTGAGAAATAGTAAACAGCTAAGGCTGGAAACCACTTGAATTAAAATGTGAGAGTACTGATGGCAAACACTCATTCCAAAAGGCTGTAAATAGAAAAGAAGACCTGAATAAGGGTGATAAGGAGCTTTAAGTTCTTGAGAAATGTTGATACATGGGATACATCATGACAATTGAAGAAGTGTTGATGGAAATTGTTGGGAAATCTTCAGTCCAAGCTGATTCTACCATGAGGGTATAAAGCAGACCTCAGCAGCAAGGGAAATGTTGCTAGGACCATTAGTGAATGTGGGTTGTTCATGGAGACTTAACACCACAGTGATGACACTCCTAGGCATTTGATGTCATTGACCTGATGCACACAACCTGGAAGTATCATAAAAGATATTTCCTTTGTGAATTATTTTGTCTTTTCTATATTTTTGCATATTTTGGCATTTGGTCAGCTGCCTCAGGAAACTACACAATCGCTGAAAGAAATGGTCATTTTTGTTTTATGTTCCTTGCTGATTGATGAGTGATGGCTTTGGATACTAGGGCTATACTTATTTGGTTTATTGCTCATTGTTTATTCATTTTATTACTTTGGAAATTGTTTTCATTTAACTGTTGGATATTCAGTAACTTGGCATCAAAGTGGTTATTTGAGTCCAGCATAATTTTAATTTTTGCCTTATTGCCCGTGTCAAACCACCTTGGAGACCAAGCTTTCAGGTCTGAAAGGCAGGAGGCCACATGTGCTGGGTGCTTTATTATTCTTGTGTGGGGGGGCTATCATTATTCATCGTGGTCAACAGACAAACCAAGCATGGTTTTATTAGAAACTCTTTCTCTCCCTTCTGTTCCTTGTGATCGCTATCCCATCCCTGTCCCTGACCCCAACATGACTGGTGACAATGCCTCCTTCAATTGCTTGATATGTTGAGAAAAAAATTGAAAATATATACCTTCCAGATGCTGAGCACCGTGAGTACACTGAAAGTGACAATTCAGCAGAGCAGTGAGAGTCGGGCAATCAGTACGTCAGCACCAGACTCTGGGACCAAGGGTGATGAGGACTCAACTGAGGAGATGGATTCTGTACCTACCAAATTCATCTGTTATATCTGCAATGCTAACTGTTACAATCAGAAGGTGAGGAGAATATCAGTGGCTTGCGTAATTGAGCGATGTAGCTGAGGAGAGTCTATGGTAGATTTGCTGTGGTAACCGCCACCTAATGATTTTTTTTAACTCAATTAGCCAATGAGAAGTTTTTATTTTTGTGCAGTATGAGAGTGAACAGGGAGAGAAAAGTAAGTTGCTTTTTTTCTTTGCCGTTTGCAAGTAGAAAGAACTTTTAAAATGTGTATTTTTATTAAAAGTTATCAACGTTTGTAATGGAAGTTACATTCTTTCAAATAGGAGTCCTTCAGAGAGGAAGTTTTCCATTTTCTGAATGAATGGCCAGTGGAATGGAAAATGTGTGATCTGGTGCTTGTTCATCCACAGCTAGTACTGGTACATCCACGACTAGTGCAAGGCTGTCTCTAGAGAGCAAGCATATCAGTGTTGAATTGAAAAAAAACATTCTTCTGCAAAGTGCAGGTGCAATATCTGATCTGGACATGCAAATAACCTTTGCGCAGAATGGCATATAAAACACAGAAGGAACCATTTAAACATTAGTCAATTTTTGTAAAATACAATCCACTGAATTGTATACGTTTTGCTGATTCATGTGTCCTTCTAAATTCTCCTTTCCAAAATATCTAACCTTTCCTTTTGTTCCTTACATCATCTAAATTTATGCTGTCATGTTACCAATACCCTAATGGAAGTAATTATTCTAAAGCCTTGCATTACTGATACTGTACTAAACTTCATTTAACCTCTCCAGGTCTTCAATATCCTTCTGAATATAAGAGTTAAACTAGTAGAATTTAGGAGTTTCAGTACCATGTTGTAAGATGCATTTCCCTGGAAATTATTCAAAGAATGAGTACCTGTGTCATAACTGAAGTTGGGTTATCTCCGGAAAACGGCCAGGGCTGTGCAGCTGACTACACTGACAATTCTATGCCACAATAATATCTACCTGACATGAACAAGGTCATGTTAATGTAAGCCTAACAGGACAAGTAAGACATTGACATTTTGAGAGGAGGTTTGAATGCAGACAGCAAGCACTGATTTGGCAGTCCGATTTGAATGTGTCGCATTATTCCTAGAGGACATCTGTTCACATTCACCTAATACAATATGATAATATGTCAGCACCGTATCTCATTCTGATAAAAATGATAAAGTAGCCAGGTGTCTTAGCTGCTGGATGGGGTTTTGCAAGGAATAGAATCATAATATTTGTGCAGTAACTGACCGTAGAATCATCTCCATGTAGAAGGAGACCATGCAGGTTGCTATAATCATATGGCCGTTTGAAACCAATGCAATGAGCAACACAATCATTGAACACTTTTAGCCAAAGTTATTGGGCAAACTGGAATGGTTTATGGGGCAAATACACACAGCCCAATTGTCGCGTTGTTCCATGCATCATATTGAATAGTGTAGCACATTAACAGCGATAAAACGCACAGAAAATCTATCATTTGGCATTGAACCCATACATTCTGTGGAACACTGTCTGAAATAGTGTTTTTACAGCACCCAAAGAAACCCTTTGGCCCATCGTGTCAGCTGTGTTCCAAGCATTTTGATTAAAATGCTGACTCTCAAAACATACTCGTCAAAATAATTAATATAAATCTGTTATGAACAAACCCTAGTATCATTTTCACAAAGTCCAGTAAAGCTAGAGATTAAATTCTTGCAACCTCATTTGAAGTTGTTGATGTCTAAATTTCTCTTCCATAATTCTATATTTTTCATTTTATTTGAAGAATTTTCAAAAACACATGAATGGGACTCGTCATCATCAGCGACTCCTGGAGATTCAGCAAATGAGTAATGCTTGTCTGGCCACAATGATTCCCAAATCAGATGGAATTGGAAGAGGCAGGGAAAGGTGCGTGAAAATACCAGACTTCCACAAATTGGAAACAAGGAATTCACAGCACAAAAGCAGGCCAATTGGCCCAAAAAGTGCAAGTGGATTTCATGCTCCACATGAACTTCCTCACAACCTTTGTCACTGAGTCATATCAGTTAATCTTTCTTCTTACTGTGTTTGTATAGTTTTCCCTTGAGTGCATCCAAATTATTCATCTCAATTACTTGTGGTACAGATTTCCATTTTCTGGATAAGGAAGTTCCTCCTGAATTCTCTATTGGATTAATTACTAGCTTATATTTATAGCTGCTACATTTACTCATCCTTGTAAATGGAAACATTTTCTCAACATATATGCCATCAAATTTATTTTTATAATCTTAAAGATCTCTGTGAGGCACCTTCTCTTTTCTAGAGAAAAGAGTGCCACCCTGTTTAATCTTTCTTCATAAGTATTACCCCTCGTCATATTTGTACTTCTTACAATGACAGACATTTGTACCTCTTCTGGTGTCTCCATGTCCTTTATGTAATATGGAAACCAGAAGTACAGCAGTACTCAGTGTGGAGTAACCTTGTTTTTGTATATAAGCTTAGCTTGTACAGTTATTAAGACAGAAGACAAGCTTTCTCATGCATTCTCTTACCAATCCTGGCAATTATGCATGCTTAAATATAATGCCACCTGCGTTGAAACATTTGATTGCTCAGTAAATTCTAATCCCTGGAGTCTCCACGTAATCAAATACCAGGCACCTCCCTCTACTTGTGTTTGTACATTTTTTTCATATTCACCCGTTTTGCACACCCTGACGTTCTGGTAAAAACTGTTGTTGATGTTGGTGCTATTGCTGATTAGGATCAAACCTAAACTGGAGCTCTAAGATCTAATGGCAGCAGCAGGTTCAGAAAAAGTAAATAAAGAGCTCTTGGATTTTAAAATCTGTTTTGTTCCCAAATATTTTGTGCTGTCCTAGTGAGCTGCTTTGAAAGATGTTGATGTTGTAGATTATGACCTAATACTTGTTAAATCACGTTTTGTGTGGCCATAGTGTTGGGTGGTGCTTTACTCTCTTAAAGGATATAGAAATAGTCAGTAAGCTGTTCAGCTGTGACGAGCAACACTAATCAGCAATGGGATGGGTAGAGAGAGGCCTTGATTCTATTCACCACAACTAGGATACTGAGGCCAAATGAAATGCCTTGGCTCCGATTGAGATTGGCTAACTCCATGCAAGTTAGGAATAGAACCTTCCTGGTTTGTTTGAATCACTCATTAACTGACTACACTTACCAAACTATTGGGAAAGTGCCTACGGTAGTTAGGATTAATTAAACTACATATCTTGTGTGCCATTGTGCATACCAGTGTTGATTTTGTATATCATGGCAAAGTAGTTAAGCACATAGAGATAGGAGGCATCCTAATTCTTTTCACTTTTCACTTTTGTACCCAGGCACACCCTAATCACAAAATTGATGAATGCTCTGGATAATATTAGACTATTGTGTGGTTTGACATACCTGAGTGTTATTTTAACTTGGAGAATTATGCTTGAGCTTGAAAGGCTCGATTATGAAAGCAGATTGTAGAGAAGAATGAGGGATGATCTGAATAGTGCATTTAAAATGTTAAAATGCCCAAAAGTAGGGGACACAATTTTAAAATTAGGGGTTGACCTTTTAGGACAGAACTGAAGGAATATTTTTTCTTTCTGAGAAGGTTGTGCGGCTTTGGAACTTCCTGCCTAAGATATGATGGATATGGCGTTATTGAATATGTCTGAGGTGGAAATAGATCCTTGTTTGAGAAGGGAATCAAGTGTTACTGTAGGTAGATGGGAATGTGGAATTTGGAACACAAGTTGATCATTCATGATCTTATTGAATGGTGGACCAAGCTTGAAAGGCCAAATGGCCTACTTGTCTTAGTTCGTATGTTTGTATGAATGGGTTTTATAGGGAAAGAAAGAAACTATTACATGTAGTGGAGCAAATCCATAATAAGAGGGCATAATATTGATGTTAGAATTAAGCCATTTAAAAGGGAAATCTGGAAGCAGCTTTTCACAAAGTCTAGTGGAAATGTGGTATTTTCTCTCACTCTCTGTCACGCTTGAAATTTTGAAGGTTGTTTTTTTTTGGGTAAGGGTATTGCTAAATGTGAAACAAAGGCAGATAAATGGTGTTGACACCTGATCAATCATGGTCTGAGTAAAAGTCAAAACCCAGGAGATTGGGTAGTTTCCTGCCTATTTCCCAAGGGTTATGAAGTGGGTTTTGTAGCTGAAGTCTTATGATGGTGAAGCGAAGACCAAAAACCTTTTTGATGAAATAAAGGGGGAGGAGGAGAAACAACGTTAAATCCAAGGCCGATTCTAAATAACTATTGATTGTCTTGCAGTGACAAGAAACGGCCCAGATGGTGCAGCACCTGTCAGGCCCATTTCAGAGGGAATGTCATAGAGCATCGTCGGACACAGAGACACAAGGTAGACAGAAAAACATTTCTCCAGAAATTGCTAGACTCATGCAATCATTTATCTCAAAGAGAAAGCTAGCTTGCCATTTGATTAGAGAACAACTCCTCCAAACCATTGAATTGTCTTTCAGGCGCTGTCTAACATGCATTGCATTTTTAGCATTTGCTGTTTTCCTTTGTGCAACTGTATTTTTCTATGTCTATAATCAGTAAATTATTGTTAGCAGGTGTAACTGTCACCAGCTTTTAAATGGATAACATTTTTGCTGCAAAATGTATGCACATTGAATAGGTGTTTATATTTTACTTACGGTCTGCAATTCATATCGGGATGGGTAGCATTTCTTGTAGATGCACGTGATGTTTTACAGTCTGCCTTTCTTGCTAAAAGTGAAGCATTTAGCCAAAATGCAGAATAGACAGGTTGAAAAACTGGTATAATCTGCCCATATAACTGTCCACGTGGCTTAGAAGCTTGCATCTTTAGATTTTTGATTGATTTTAGTAATTCAATTCAATTTTAATACATGAGCTCCTAACTTAAAAATCTCCTCATCTCCCTTTTGGGTGCTTCTATCAGCTTACTGTGTTTCTCCTGTTAGTTTCTGCAGTGTATCTCAATTACGTCTTTCATTCCTTGAACATTCTGCAAAGCTGTTACTTTGTTTGAATGCCTAGTCTATTCTTCAATTTTCTGTAAATTCTGCACCTTGAGTCTAAAAACTGGGGGAGTGGAGAGGTCCTTCAGTCTCTGCAAGCAGTGGAAGAAGTTGTGAATTTTTTCTGAAGTTTGTCATTTTAACAGTAGCAACATACAGGCAGAGGGATAAAGCAGCAGGCGTGCACACCCCCCCCAACCTTTTTTTTTTTTTAAAAATGGCGAAATTTAAAAAATGGCATACACCTATTTTAATGGTGTCACTCAAGAATACAGACTCTACATTTAAGACATCTACATTTAAAACAGGCAGTCACTTATATCGGCTGACAAAATCATTAATAATAATTTGCATCAATATGATTATCATTGTTGCTGATTACATCATCTTGAAGTGTTCCATCTATTTTCAGAAACCGTTTGTGCTTGCTTAAAGTTCATATCCTGTTAAGCTGCACTGGATATAAAGAACAGAGAGCTGGGAACCTTGTTAATGTTCAATTACCTATTGTATACTGAAGAACTTCTAATTCCTCCTCCCCTACACATCCAATTCCCCCATGTTGTCATAGAGTCATACAGCACGGAAGCAGACCCTTCGGTCCAACCAGTCCATGCTGACCAAAATCCCAAACTAATTGTGGCACTATAGTTTGTATTAAGCTGTGCCTGGCGTTTAAATAAAGCCAGTTGCATTGTATTCAGCTGTTTAAATAATTTAAGTGTAGATCCTCAGCATTCTTGTTGATTACTGTAATAACACTGCCCATTGTGTTTTGTGGGAGCATTAGCTTCACATGAACATACTGTGTAGGAGTGGAGATGTAGTATGTGGCGATACATTATGCTCCTTTATTAATGCAATATATAAACTTTTAATGGGCACTTTGCTCCCACATTTTATTGTTATTTGTGCTTTAATGCAGTGGGGTCTGGTAGTTTTTCCAGAAGGTCAGATGACCCCCAAATGTTCTTGGTGGCTGGGCCCTAGTCATTCCTGTAGCTGTGCCTATATGGAGGTAAAAAATGTTATTAAATGTGAATTTAATAATAGCTGCCATTGAGACAGGTAATTGTAAGTTCTGCATATATGATGTCAATGGTAACCATAAATGCTGCTCATTGTTGGATGCTCGTTGGATGGTGAAATGGTCGGGTTCACCACTTGTGTGACTTGTAGCTGCATTGTGCATATTGTAAGGGAAAACTCTAAAGACACAACCCTGAATTGAAAGCTGTGCTCAAGTGGCATCTTATTCTGCAGTGAGAGCAGAGTGCCATGGAGAGCACGCTCAAGATTGCTTACTACTTATTGCTAGGATTTATCTATCCATTTGGGGAACTTGACTGTTTACTATTCTTGTGAAATCCTTGATGAATTATATAAAGCAATAAAAATAGTAGCAACTTGCATGTATATTGTGCTTTAACATGAGAAAGCACCCCAAAGCAGTGGGCTGTGTCATCAGGTATGTCATCAAACCAAAGATATCCAGACCATACAGGAGCTTTTAGGGAAGATGACCTAAAGCTTAATCAAGAGGTAGATTCTAAGGAGCATTTCAAAACAGGAGAGATAATTGCAGAGATGGACAGGTTCAGGGAAGGAGTTCCACAGCTCAAAGTCTCTGCAACTGAAGGCATGGCTGCCAGTGGTGGAATAAAGAAAACCAGTAATGTGTAAAAATACAGAATTTAGGAACTTTGAGATCTCCAGAGGGTTTAGGGTCTGGGAAAGTTAGAAGCAAGGAGTGGAGAGGCTTCGGAGGGAATTGAAAATAAAAATGGGAATTTTAAAATTGAGACATTGCTTAAAAAGAAGCCACTTTGGATTAGTTTAAGTTATGGAAGGTGGAACTAAAATAGTTTATCCACAGATGCTACCAGATCCATGGAGCGTTTTCAAAATGTTCTATTTTTATTTCCAGCTTCCACAGTATTTTGTTTTTAACTGTCTCTTCAACCTCACAGGTAACCACCTCTGTTTCACCTTTACTTCGTCCCCAACTTTGGGAGCATTTTGCTACTGTAAAGGCAATATATTAATGCAGTAGCTGGGACCTTGGGTATCTCACTCACTTTATGAAAAGGTGCCAAGTCACTCTATTGGATGTTGCAGAATAAGATTGGCTATATCTTACTCGAGTCCATCAGTTTGGAGGTACTGATGGGTCTTCCTCTGGCATCAAATCTTTGGATGCATTAATCCTATCCAGCGAGAGCTGTTGGACAGTCATTTGTGAGCAGCTCTTGAAATTGGCAGGGACGTTAGTCAGCATGGGCCAGTTTGGGTTGAAGGGCCTGTTTCCATACTGTGTTACTGTGACTCCATGAAAGCTGTAGATGCTGCTGGGAGGAATTCAATATCCAGAGAACCAGTGTTTTGGGTGGGGGGAGAGTTATGAATGACATGAGGAAGCTAGAGACAAGTGGAAGCAAGGACAATGGGGTGCTTCTCAGCAGCCACCATTACTGCAACTCCATTTTGAGGTTTGAAAGAAGTTTTAACCTGTAGGTGAAATTTGAACGCGGGGTTGTGGTGGTGAAGATCTGGGGTTGGTGGGGTGTGGGGCAGTTCCATGCTAGCCACTGGTGGCCCAGTCTTCCGTTTTGCGATGGCCTGACTTAAGGGCCCCAATTGGTGGCACAGTGGGAAGGCTGATTTTATGCCTTTCTGCCCAAAACTTAATTTGGGATGTGACAGGAAGATGAGAGGGTTGTGGGATGCCACCATCCCACCTAATTAAGTTGCCTTCCCAGCTTTAGCACCAATGCCTCCATACAGGAAGATTCCACCAGTTTACAAGTTGCTGCCATCACTAACTGATGTGACAATATGACTACCAAATACAACCCTAAGACATAAGAAGTAGGCCATTCAGCCCCTTGAGTCTGTTACAGTTTTCAGTGAGATCATGTCTAACCTGATAATTGTTAATTCCACTTTCCTACCTCTGTGCCGCAACTTTCTGCAGTCTCTCTCCATCTAATAATCAGCTCTAGTGCTAAACTTCACAGTTACCCATGTTCCATTTCATCTGCCAAATTTTTGCGCAATCCTTAACCTGTCCATATCCCTCCGTAGACTCTATTTCATCCTCACCATTTGCCTTCCACTAATTTTTGTGTCATTTACAAACTTATCCCACATACACTTTCTTCCTCAAAGTCATTTATATATATTGTAATTAATAGTGGTCACAGCACTGATCCCTGTGATGCTCCATTAATTACAGGTTGCCATCCTAAAAATGCCCCATTTATTCCAACTCTCTGCCTTCTATTAGTTAGCGAGTCCATGCCAATAAACTACCCCAACAACATGGACCGTTATTATGAAGCCTCATGTGTGGCACTTTATCAAACACATGTTGGAAATCCAAAAAACTACGTCTGCTAGTTCCCCAGTATCTCTCCTGCTTGTAATTTTCTGCAAGAATCCAGATATGTTTGTCAGGCATGACTATCACCCCCCCCCCCCCCCCCCCCCCCCCCCCCCCCCCAAAATGATGCCATGCTGACTCTGCTTGATTATATTTTGTGTTTCTTAATTGTAGACTCGGACATTTAACAAATGTTAAGCTAACTAGTTTATAGTTTTATTTTGTTTCCTATTTTGAATAAGGGTGTTACATTGGCAGTTTTCCAATTCTCTGGGACTTTTCAAGAATGCTTGGAAGATTATTGCTCTGGAAGCTTGGTTCAAGTGAAGCCCCTACCACAGGAACAGCTCCCTTCTATCCCAGCACTGGTGCCAGTGAAGAATAAATTGAAACACTTCCACATCAATCTTTGAGCTATTAGTTTAATTCAATTCCTTAAATTAGCCAGTTTGCCTGTGGCTCAGGCAGAAATTCCAAGATTTTTAAGTTCTGCTTTTCATCTTCAATCCTTAATAAAATGTTTTTCAGCAGAACCTCCTTTTTGGTTCTGTCAATGTCATTGGTACTAACGCGGACAATGACAACTGCATCTCTCTCCTCCCACTCCAAGTTCCTATCCAACCCTGAGGAGATTTAATTAATCTTGGCATTGGGTAGACAGTACACTTTTGGGACTCACGCCCATAGCTTCAGAGAACAGTATCTATCATCCTAATTATACTGTCCCCTAGCACTACCATTACCTCACCCACATCTTGCATAGCTCCCTGTATTACAGTCAGTTTGCTCATCCTGCATTACCCACTCTCGTTCATCCAGCTTGCAGCAAACTTTTAACTGTTGGACACTTGCAGGGGCCAGGGTTCCTTGAATGCTACCTCCACTCCCCATATCTGCTTCTACTGTCATACCTTCCCATTTCTGATTACAGACCAAATTTGAAAGGCTTAATTTGAGGGGTGTGACCATCACCTGGAGTTAAGTGTGCAGATAACTATCCCCTTCCTTCCATGCCTGCAGCTCCGACACCAATATTTTAATTTGCAGCCGAGGTATCTTGAGCTGCGGACACCTTCGGCAGATGTGTTCACCTTGAATGACCTTAGTGTGCAGCAGCAACAACACAACACCTGTTTTGTCATTACGTAGGAAGTAGCAAGCGTCTTTAAGGTTATATGCATTGGTGGTTTTTAAATATGTATGCCCTTTAGAAAATTAGATACATATTCCATTTACTCAAATATAGCTCCCCTTTTAAAAGAAGCATTTGGATTTTATCTGGAAATTTGTATACTGCAGCACTCACCGCAGGAGTGTTCCAAAGAGAATAGACCTGTGTTTGAAGAAGAGAAAATTGCAGTATTAAGTGTGTGTGGAACTAATTGGATAGCGTTTACAAAGAACCAGAACAAGCATGGTGGGCTGAATTACTACATTCTGAGCTGTATCTTTGTATGTAGTGATTTAAAATTGTAATAGTAGAGAAAAAACATGAAGTGTTTGATAAAATGTTTCAGTAGTTTGAAAGGCAGACCAAAAATAATGATACTCTTAAAACAAAGTTAATTTTGGTGCTGACACTTACACCCCATCCAGCTTTCAATTACTGATCTCAGTTTAGTTGGATTTATTGTCTTGACTGCTGTTTTTTCTTATCTAACAACTGGTGTTTAAAATTGAGAAACTTGCTCAATAATTTAAGAGGAGTGAGTCATGCATCGTGGGCCATTAAAAACATGTCACATGGCACTGGAGTCATGTGCAGGCCTAACTAGAGAAGAGTTTAGTGGACTCCCTTCCCTGAGTGACATCAGTAACCCATGCCAAAGATGTGTCATTAGGTTCTTTATGTCTTATTACCATTCTGGGTTGGCACCAGAAACATGACCTCAAGTTCAAGTTTGCGAATTGTCACAGAAAGATTTGAGCTTAATATCTCTGGGCTACTCACCAGATACTGTCAACACCATATTAATGTATCTTGCCATCTTTCTTCTTACTAACAGAAGAGATAAGTGCATCCCCAGCTTGTAGGTATTTTCTAATCAACCTGTTCAGAGATGTTATTACACACTCCTTGAACAGATAGGACTTTGAACCCAGGCCTTCTGGCTCAGAGGTAGGGACCACTTTACCCAGCCTGAATCCTACACTACCTTTGAAAAATGCAATGTCCCACCTTTGTGCCATAAGTTAGGTTCAGCTGGTCCTTTTATTTTGAGGGTGGGCCTATTGGAGATTGCTGGCCCTACCCTCCCCTTGCTGTAGCTGTATCATTTATGTTCTCTGTTTCTCACCAGCTTGCTAAGTACTCGCTGCGGCCTTTCTGCACTGTCTGCAGCCGACACTTCAAAACCCCCCGCAAGTTTGTGGAGCACATGAAGTCGCCAGAGCACAAGCAGAAAGTGGAAGAGGTACACTATGCTTTTTCTAGGCTTTTCACTTGTTTCCATAGTGGAATACAGGGGAAATTAAAAATGAGAAAAATATTTACATCTTGCTTATGAATAGCCATTCTCATGCTTGACGAGAGAACAGTCAGGTTGCAGTCTTCAAAATCATACTGCATTTATTTAGTGCATTTAACTACATTGAAAGTGCTTCACAAGACTATTATCAAACAAAACTTGACACTAAGGTATATGGAGAGATGTTAGATAAACTAAAAATATATGAAAAGAGATGTTTAGGGAGAGTGTTCCAGATCTTAGGCCCTTTTGGTCTGCAGGCATGGGCACCAAATGTGATGGAAGGAAAGTTGAGGAACAACTGAGCCTAGAACTGGAAACGAACAGGGATTTTTAAGGATTGGAGGATTTAAGGAGGGGTCACAGCAGTTGTGAAGATTGAGGTGCTGAAGGGTTTTGAACACAAGGATGAGAATTTTAAAATCAGTGTTGCTGGATTGCGAGCTGATGGAACTTAATGACCATCCTATTTAGGGATGACAAGACTGCTCATATATCTGATAAGAGATGAGTTGGACATTGAGTGCACTTTAACTCCGTAGCCAAATAGTTGTAAATTGACATTCAATAGTTGTAAATTTTCATTTATCTATAAAAAGTGTTATCATCTGACTGTTTTTTAGTTCCCAACTTGCCTGTCCAGTCCTACTTTTATCTTAGTTTCAGAAGGTTGTGGGTTTGAGCTCCGTATCACTATGCTCACATTCCATTGTGATACTAAAGGAGTACATGCATCTTTTGACTAAAACATTAATAGAGGTTCTTTCTACTGACACCAGAGCTGTAAGGGAAACTGGTAGCATTGGATTCTAAAAAGAGAGAGTCAGAAAAGCTAAACACTTTCTTCATCCCAAGTAATACTGTGATTTTCTCTACTTTCTTCTGATTCACTCTTATTTCTGGTTATAACAGTCTAAATCAACTCAGGAATGATCGGAGTGAGCAGACTCGCTGTACACTGAACAGTGTACAATGTGCATTGCACTTGCAATAATGTGTACTCCATTCTTGGTGACTTAGTAACACAATTATTGCCAACAGTAGTAGTTGAACTTGAGTGATGAAGGACTGAGCCTGTCGATCACACATTTCCAAGACAGGCATACTACTGTTTGGACTGTTGACCACCTATGCTCAAAGGTTTTCAACTTGACTCACTTGCTGGAAAACCTGCAGATGTGTTATTGCTCAAATTCTCATGAATGATTTTTAGTATACATCTGAAAATAGGAATTATTAGCACCACTAGGCTATTCTGCTCCTGAAATCTGCTTTGCCATTTGATAAAATGATGGCTAATCTGATTGTGGCCTCAGCTCTACCTCCTCATGTATCCCCTATAGTCTTTGACTCTTTTGTCAGTCAAGAATCTATTTAACTCAGCCACAAATATATTCGATGACCCTGCCTTTCCTATTCTGAGAGAGAGAATTCCACAGATTAATGACCTTCTGAGAGAGGAAAAAGAAAATCTCATCTCCATCTTAATGGAAAACCCTTTAGTTTGAAATGGTGTCCCAAAGTACTGTCTGTCCCGCAGAAGGAGACATCCTTTCAGCATCCATCTTGTCGGTCTCCCTCAGAAACTTTATGTTTCATTAGATTGCTGATGAATCTTCTAAGTTCCAATGGACACAAGCCCAACCTGTCTACCTTTCGCTCACAAGAGAGCCCCTTCATCTTAGAAACAGAAACAGAAACAGAAACTGCTGGACAAGCTCAGCAGGTCTGGCAGCATCTGTGAAGAAAAAATCATAGTTAATGTTTCAGGTCCCGTGACCCTTCCTCATCCTAGCAGTGAGTTATGTGAACCTTGTCTGAACTGCACACCACAACAATTTATTGAATTGTACGAACTCCCCTCGTTCTAATCCAAAGAGTTGTAGCTGTAATTTAACCGTTCAGTAGCTTTATGGACTCCATTGAATCTTGTTACATGTTTTTTGATATGCAGGATAAAGTGCCTGCCTTCATAGTGACTGAAATTTCTGCCCTAGAAAATAGAAATGGAACATTTATATTATCAAGTCATTCAAGCATTACTGAGCAAAAGCACATACAGTTGAATCTTCCCTTTGTTCACAGATTACTTAAATTACAAATGCTTCTGTTTTAGAGGACAAGGTTTGTACACTCGTAAACTGACAAGAATATTTTTTGGCACCTAGCAATACTTTGCCTGCCAAACCTACAATATTCTAACAGTACTAGACAGGTTAAACTCAGCTAGGTTGTTCCTGTAACCAGGCAGTCCAAAACCAGGGGCCATGGTCTAAGTATACTGGTCGGCCATTTAAGACTGAGATGAGGAGAAATGTTTTCATCCAGAGAGTGGTGAGTCTGTGGTATTCTGTGCCACAGAATGTGGTTGTGGCCAAAACTTTGAATGTTTTCAAGAAGGAGTTAGACATAGTTTTTTTAGGGCTGAAGGGATCAAAGGGTATTGGGAGGAAGAGGGAACAGGGTGCTGAGTTGAATGATTGGCCATGATCACATTGAATGGTGGTGCAATCTCAAAGGGCTGAATAGCCTACTTTTCCTCCTAATTTTATTGCATTCCTCCACTCCAATTATTTATCCATCCATCCTGTTTGACTAAATACAATTTCTATTGTTTTTTTTAAATGCCAAAATCGTATTTACTCTGAACTTCTCTAAGCTTTCTCTAAAGTGGATAACTTGTGGAGCCATGAGGCTGAACATTATTTAGTTGCTCACTGCACATGCTCTCAAATGTAGTATTTATTTGTTGTGTGCAAGGACTGGGAAAAAAAGTTAGGCTGTCAAAACTTTTGTCTTGCACTGACCAGAGCAAAATCGCAAGGATACCAAATTTTAAAGGGAATAACAGTTTGTATTGCATTGGAAGAGGATTCTGATTGGTAGGCAGATAGACTTGCACATCTATATATTACTTAGCTACATACCCCTTAGCAGCAACATTTGAAAATGTGGGATCAGATTACACGTGTATGTTGATGGTATTCCTCCTTTGTCACTGTCTCATATTTAACCATGTGTTCATAACTATGGCAGTCTATTTGACACCAGGCTCCCTTTACAATCTCACATCCTCTCAATCACAAATGTTGCTTCCCTGACATTGTCTGCTCCACCTCACCCTGTCTGCTGCCAAAACATTTACGTGTGTCTTTGTCACCTCCAGGTTTGACTGTTCAATAAGGTGCTGAGATACCTCCTTTACAAGTTCAACCGCAGAAATTCATCATTAGCCAATTGGAGTGCTGAATTGAATGGCTGGTCAGGGCACTGAAAGAAAGACTAATCAGGGCAGATAAAAGTAGTCCTATTGACTACCTGTTTAGGGAAAGAAATTTGTATTCTAGCCACTCTGTGTTGAACTGTGTAAAATTTCAGTTCATTCAGTATTTGATCCCTGTACCAGTCACTGCTCCAAGTCCCACTCATTTATCCTGAGCCCACTGATCTTTCTTGGTTCCTGAGCTCCCAACGTCTCATCCTTGTGTCTCAGTTTCTGGAAATAAGAAATTGAATGGGAAGATACTGGATATGCACAGCTGGTCAGGCACCCTCTGTGGAGAGAGGAAGTTAAGCTTACTGTTTTGGGGTTAATGATCTTTTTTCAGAAATTGGCTGTTAATTTCTTGAGCAGCCACACTTACCAAAATAATATTTTGTGGTCCTGTACATTTCAGTTAATTAATCTGTTTCAGCTGATTTTACTGAGAACTGCATATTTTGTATCAGTTACACTTCTGATATGGGAGAACGTTTTTTTCAGAGTTGTTAGATTTACAATTATTCCCCCCTCTATTGTTTTATTTGTTGACTGCTTGCAATAATGAGGCCATTAGTTAAGTGTGTGGACTGTATAGACTAGAGTGGCCAACAATGCCACTCAGTCATTTGTACCAAATAGTCCAGCGTGGGCTGAATAACATCAGATTTTCCATTAATTGGAGACTGATTGATTGATTAATTCATATCCAGTCTCAAATCAGAGCAGTATATTGGATTTTAATCAGCATCCACCTTCCACTATCAATGCAGTTTAGCTCCAGGATGTATGTTCTGCTGGATAAAATACAGCAAATTGTCAATCAAGATTGACAGCTAAATAAAAAAACCGTAGTGTTGCAAGATAACCACTCCTTCATTACCACTGCATCAGAATTCTGAAAGTCTATATCTGGCTCTACTAAGGACAACCATCACAGCAAAGGCTGCAGCAGTTGCTGGAGAAGCCCTAGTGCCATTTTTTTATAAATGCGATCTTGCTTACATTATCCACTTTACTTCCTTGCGTTAGAATGAATACAGTTCAGACAATAAAATCAGATGAGCTCAGACAGTATTGCTGCACTTGTGGGATGTTATGGAGAGGAGATGAGGTTGACACTTCTCTGATAATTAAAACTGAAACACCTAGAGAAGCTCACCTCGCCTCGAAATCTGTTAAAGGAAATGTGAAAAGTCGTATAACCTGCCTCTCTCCTCTCAATCTGTTATGAAGGACAGGTGAAATAAAATGAACTCTTGACCGTACTCTACAGCCAACAAGTGACAATTTATTTATCTAACTCTAACAGTTAACAAATTAATAGAACTACTAACAAACTATAATTCTGCCTTAACTACTAACTATTCCCAAATAAAACAAAATTCTAATGATATGATGTTCCAGTAGATACAAATCCCACTTATATAAACCAAATTAATAAAAAAAATTAAAAGTTAAAATTTAATCTCTCGAAATCACAGTCAGTATAAGTGTTCCGGAATGTTCTCTGCTGTCCTTCAGTCAGGAATGCCTTCCTCCATCAAATTCTTGTGTCAGGAATATTAGCTAAGAGTGCCATAGTGCTTACTTTGAGAGCTTTGAAATTTCTGAGAGAGCCAGTGAGTTTCTCTTCAGGTGGCAGTTTGCTCTTACACCAATTTTCAAATAACCTCTTCTTTTATACCCTTACAACAGGATTGGTCCTAGGTTGTCAAAACCATCAGATTTATATTGGGCTTTGGTATCCAGGACCTGGTTTAAATTAATTGGCTATATTCAAAAACCTGCTATCCTGGTAAAAATGCTGCTTTGCCTGCTAACGGTACAGCCTTTTGATACAGTGTTTCAATTTTAAGAACTCTCTATGTATCTATTGCTGCCTTCTAACGTCCTGCCTTCCAATCCACAAACACTCTGCCCAACTTCGCAACAGGGAGGGTGTAATATTATTGTGACAAGTTTACTTAAGCAGTTTCTACCAAAAATATAGACTAAGAAATTTGAGGGAGAGAATTGTTCTCTGAAAGTGGGTGTGGATGCACAATATTTAATTCCTGATTCTATGGATAACATTTGATACAAAAATCAAATGTCATGCAACGTGAACATATAATCATCATTAGCATGTGTAATAATCAAACGTGCATTTTGTTTTCAGGTTAAGCAGCAGCGTAGCTCCCAGGATAAAGACCAGGCTGGACAAGATGATCCAGAGGACCTTATCACTGTTGATGCAGTTGGTTGCTTTGATGAAGATGATGAAGAAGGGATGACTGAGGAGGATGATGATAGCATTTCTGATTGTTTAAGTGATAGGGATTCTCAGGTTTGTCAATATCCTGTTAGAACGGTTTGTATTTCCCTGCATTCAGGTATTTCTTAACCCTACTTTATGATTTTATTGGAGGTGACAAATATTATATAGCTGTATTTTAAAATACTGTGTAACAATTGTTACGGGCTTTGCAATGTGTATTTCCTTGATGTCATGGGCCCTTCAATACTGTTTTAAATGTGATGTTGCATTAGTATATGATGACATCAATTCCTTTTATTGAAAATCAAGCACCTCTACTACAACATCCAAATGCCCTTATACAGTGCTTTTAACTTGGTTGAACATCCCATCTGCTTCAAAGCATTTTGCAACAGAATTTGATAAGTCAGGTAAGGAGATTCGAGGGCGGAGTCACCAAATGCTTAATTAATGAAGGAAGCTTTTAAGACTGTTTTAAAGGGAAGAGGGTGGAGGACAGGTTTAAGGATTTCAACAACTTAGATTTGAAGCAGCTGAAGACACAGCCACCATCTATGTTCTACGTTCTAATTGAAATTGGAGGTATGCAGAATTTGATACATGTGGAAAACCCAGAGGATTATAGACACAAAAACAGAAGTTGCTGGAAAAGCTCAGCAGGTCTGGCAGCATCTGTGAAGAGAAATCAGAATTAACATTTCGGGTCTGGTGACCCTTACTCAGAGGATTATAGAGTTGAAGAAGGTTAGAGATTGTTATGGGTGGAGACATTGGAAAGATTTGAAATAAATAGCCTAGAATTTTAACATTCTGGTTTTCGAGACTGGGAGCTAATATGGGTCATTGGACTCAAAGTTGGGAAATGTGTAATAGTCCAATTGAAAACTTACACTGGAGGAGTAAAATGCAGAGACACCGTAGAGGCTTTTAAAGTATTGAAAGGTGTGAGGTTGAAATTAGAAACCGATTGGTAGTGATTGTAAGACAATACCTTAAGTCCTAAATTTACGACCCTTGAGCAAGGTCAGAAGTCATACCCAAAGAATGGAAAATATGTAGAATAGCCAATCTGGACAAGGAAATATATTTAGCAGCCAATAACTCTTTGTAAAAAGAAACTGGATTAATAAGACAATGGAATAATGACAATAGAGGAATTATTCTATATAAAATCCGAAAGAACTGTGGATGCTGTAAATCAGGAACAAAAACAGAAGTTGCTGGAAAAGCTCAGCAGGTCTGGCAGCATCAGTGAAGGAAGAAACAGAGTTAACGTTTCGGGTCCGGTGACCCTTCCCTCTGAACTGAGGAAGGGTCACCAGACCCAAAACGTTAACTCTGTTTTTTCCTTCACAGATGCTGCCAGACCTGCTGAGTTTTTCAGCAACTTTGTTTTTGTTGTTGAGGAATTATTTTGTTTATCTGTTTTGAGAGGAGAAAAAAGACTCAATGGGTCTTAAATTAGGGGGTCAAATATTGTATATGGAGTGGGAAGGGTGTAGAAATGTCGATGATGAAATGTCCTTAAATAACTCTGGATGGGACTGATAACCTTTTTCACGTGGATTTTGTTAATTGCGTGGCTTCCCTGAAATGGCATGAAATTTTATAGCCTCTTGAATAAAATGTATTTTTTCAAAAGGGGAGGAAAGAAGTAAACATATGCTTTGTACATTTAGGCATTGCTGTCAGAGTTTGAGAAGGAGCCATATGATGCTGAGGCTGTGTATGGTGAGTACAAAAGAAGTAAGCTAATGTATTTAGCTCAGTGCTTTTTTTCCATTAAAATCTATCAAGCTTGTTTAAATAACACATTAGAGAATTTTAATGGATATTTTAGTCTGCAAGTAAAATAACTGTTAACCTCTGATTTCACAACAATTTTAGTTCAACCAAATGAATTGACTTGGTAACATCCAGTTGTGTTTACATAGCACCAGAAATGCCCTAAAGCAGTTCCCAGACACATAAATAGACAAAGATTGATACAATGCCTATAAGTGCATTAGGATAGATGATTAAGAGTTTGGTTAAGAGAGGTATACTTTAAGGAGGGTCTTAAAAGAAGAAAGGAAAAACAAATAGGTTTTGGGAGGGATAACAGAGCTCAGGGCCTAGGTGGCTGAAGGTACAGCTGCCAGCGGAGGGTTCATGAGGCCAGAGTTTGAGGAATGCAAAATTCTCAGAGAGTTACATTGTTAGAGGTGTTTATAGATGCATGGAAAAATGAGATCATAGATGGATTTGAGCACTAGGATGAAAATTTTAAATTTGTGGCATTAGTGAGTTGGAAACCAGAATAGCAGTGTTGGTTTTACAGGACTTGATGAGGGCCAGGATTTGGGTGAGTTCATGTTTATGGAAGGTGCAAGGTAGGAGGCTTTTCAGAGTATTGGAATAGGTAAGCCTCAATGAAATAGAAGCGCGAATGTAGGTTTCAGCGGCGTTGGACTCAGAGAGGGCTGGAGACAAGCGATATTGCAGTGAAAGAAGTGGGTATTATTGATAATGGAAAGGATACAGGATCTGATGGGTTACAGTCTGGGTTGAGTAGGATGGAGTTGCATGAAGTGGTAAGTAGAATGTGGGGTCAAATCAATAATGAGTGAAGCAGCTTGAGTTTAAGTCTAAGCCAGTAGTAAATAAAGGGACAATCCCAGATTTAAAAGGAAAGAAACTGTTTTCAGTGTCAATTGGCAAAGAAGTCAGGAATGGAAACTGGGTGCTCTGCAGATGAGTGGGAATAGGGTTGAGAGAACTGTTGGGTCTTTCAGCTAAGGAGAGGACATGAGCATCAATGGAAGGGCAACCAGATGTCAGTCTGAGGTAGTGTAAGGGTCTGTGTAATTGGACAATAATCTGAAGGCCGGGATTAATTCATCAAAGAAATTCCAACCCTCGTGGCAGCTGGGAAATTTAAGTTGTTAATAGGTTTTTTGAAAGCACCTGGAACAAAGTGTTAGTTTTTGTAACTATGACCCAGTAAATAACTGGATTACCAGGCCAGTCAGTTGTACCAAACCGTTGCAAACATGTCACTGTAGGATGACCTCCACGATAAGGACTGCAGCAGTTCAAGAAGCTTGTTCACTACCACTTTCTGATGGTCAGGTGAGGACAGGCAATAAATATTGGCTTTGCCAGTGATGCCAGTTTCCCCCTTTTTAAAAAAACAACTAGAAAAGGAGAACAAGGGCAGGGAAGATTACATGGGTGGGAGAGCGAATGATGCAGTGAAGGCCACTGAATGGTTCATCTCAGTCTTGTTGGCTTTGGTGCTAAAGAGGTCTGTGAGCTTTTTGCATTTTTGGAGGAGTGAGGTGAAAAATGTTTAAGGAGAATAGTTGGTAACTGAGAAAAGAATCTACAGATTATCTTGTCTGGAGTGTCTCCAAAATTTCTCCAAATGTTTGTTGCCAGAAAAATTGGAATGTTGATGTTTTTGTTGTTACATATTTTTATCTTTGCTAAAATGCTTGTTCTATGGAGACTGTTGTGTGTTGTGGTTAACATCAGTGGTTTAAAATGATCGATGTTCTTTTTAATTCCAGCAGAACCCTCAATGTTTTTTAAAAAAAAACAAGCTTCCTAAGTAAAATAATTTGGGCACAGTGCACAGCACTTAACTGCATTCAGATTTGTTTGTTTTGGTTAGCGATTCATTAATTTCCCTCTGAACAGAATCACGCAACAATGATATATTAAACATTAATGTTGTGGAGGAAGAGGATGCATTGTCAGATTAATATAAACAGAAACAACTCTGTCCCTCCTTTGATAGTTAATCTGCGATTATCTTGTGCTATTGGCTTGCAAAGTGGGAATAGTCTGATTTTATTTTTAAAGGGGAAGGAAAATGTGTGCAACTTACTGCTTGTGCCAAGTCTCCCCCCCCCCGCCCCTCCCCTCAATCCCCATGTCAACATTCTTGCTCAAAAAATCTTAAATCAATTTTTAAAAATACCTTTTTTGTTAAATTTTCACAGCCCAGACTTCTCATGTAACGTTCCTGGATGGAGATGTCTGCATTCTGTAATGCCTGTATGCCTCTCAATAGGATCACAGTTTTGGTCTAATCTAGGAGAATTCCAGGACTAGCCAGTCCCAGATGCTTGCACAAATGTCCGGTTGTGTAGCATCCAATAGTGCACACTGCCACTGCTTTACTTGTTGCCGTCTTCACTGTCCTCCAGAACAATGCAGTTGGCATGATTTTCCCGGAACTGATCACTCTTAGAAATAGGAGTCAACCATTGAGCTATTCCACCACCATTCAATTTCATTGTGACTGCTCTGAACCTCAGCTCCATTTAGCAGCTTGGATCCTCCGAATCTGCCGAAAACCTATCTTTCTCAGCCTTCAATACTCAAATTGACTGCCAGTGTCCACAGCTTTCAAGAAGTGCAGGATTCAGAATTCTGCTATCTTTTGTGTGGAAAAAGTGTCAACGAATTTCACTCTTATATGGCCTAGTTCTAATTTGTCTGGATTCCTCCACCGGTGGAATTGGTTTGACTGTAATTAACCGAACAAATTCTTCAAATGTTTTAAGTATGTCGATTGGATCACTCTACAACCTTCTAAACTCAAGTCCAGACAGAACAAGCTAATGTAACTTAGACTTAAAATGAACACCATTAACCCTGATATTAAAATTTCACCTTTGACTTTGGCCGTTGCATGTTCTGCATAAATTTATCATCTTCAAGTTGCAAAATTTACCTGAATACAAGTTCAAATAAAAAAAAATTGCATTGGAGAGTTGATCAGTGAAATATATGTTTTAGCTTAACTACCACTGCTGGACCCGCAGCCATTGAGTTCACACGCTGCACAACAGAAACTTTGGAAACAAGTTTGAGTGAAACTTTTCTTTTAAAAGTTCAGCTTCTTTTCCAAAATTGGATTACCTTTACCTTATCTGGAAACATTTCATACACATCATTAGATCTCTCATCTGAAAATTTATTCTCTCATTACTTAGCCCATTCTAAGCATCTAGTATTTATCTACTTAGTGCAGATAAATTAGAGCTGTAAACTGTCAAAACTGGTTTCTGTAGCATAACTATATGTATCCAGACTCATTGCTGTGGCTTTCCATTATGGTATCATTGCAAAGCTTTCCTCTCACTAATACACATCCATGCATCTCTGAATTCTGAAAGGTGATTTCTGCTTTTTGCACATTGCCATCCTAAAATGCTGATCACGCTGACTGAGGCTGAGAGCCTGGTTTCTGTTAACTCTTATACAGCTGACTTTTTATTTAAAACAAAACTCTTGTATGCATTTCCTTTTTTTTAAACTTCTGATTTGTTTTGTGTGTTTTGATGACAAGGGCACATTCAATGTAACATACAGTGATCGTCTTGGTTCCCCTCCCCTCCACAGGCCAGGAATTTGTGGTCCCTGTGACCGGTTTCCTCTGCAAGCTGTGTCACAAATTCTACCATTCTGAGTCCACTGCCAGATTTACCCACTGCAAGTCACTGATGCATTTTCAGAACCTTCAGGTTAGATGGTTGTTCCATGATGTGGCCTGTGTTTCATTCTCTCCTCAGTACCTTTTTTCTCTCTTTTCACCTTGCCTGTTTTCTTCATTTTTTCACACTCAACCTTCATTTATACCTGCCTTCTCTTTACCTACTTAGCTCCCTCTTATCACTTTTCGCTACCCATATCCTCCCCTCTCTGCAACTCCTTTCTTCACCACACCCCCAAATCCCTTCCTACTCCACCACACTGTCTCTCTCTCTGCATTTTTCTCTTCTAATTCTGGTGTTTAGTGTTGTCTCAGACTTGCTTTAGTCCCTTCCTGTGCTGAATCCAGTTTTATTATTGTAATAACGGTAAAGACTTTTTCCAATTTAAACTTAAATGCCCTGCGCTTTTTTGGTCTTTCGCTGCTGTTTGATATAAAGTTAGTCACGTGTTTGTTGCTGGATACTTGTACCTTGCTGCTTCAGAGTTTGCCCTGATCAGTGTACCTCTACTCATTAACAGGTTAACATGACCAGGAACTTGTTTACATTTAATCTTTCTACATTTTGCCCCTCAGTTAACTTGGCAATCCTAGAAATTGGAATCTTCGGTTTAGATACAAACAAACTAAAAAGTGTTGAAATTTTGTGAACCTGTTTCCATCAATCTCTGTTCAGTCTGTTTATGAACTTGAAACACCAGGGAAAGCCATCAAATTTGGGACCGAGAGGCTGTGGGAGCAGAGTGCGATATGTTTTTGAAAACATTGCATCAAAGGAGTTTTATTGAATTTGAGTTTGAGGTACATTATTTGGGCAAACGAGATTAGCTCTGCTTTGCATCTGTCCTTATGCAAGATACTTGGATATCTTTTAAAGCTGTCAGTAATTGTGAAGAAATTCCCCTCAGTGAAAAATGGTAGTGATTAAATACTTGTACCTTTTGAAGGAAAATTAGAGCAAGTCTGTGACCCATTATGCATTCCCCTTTCATTGAACTGTTTATGTTGATGTTGGTTCACATTGTGGGTTTTGTCATTTCTTCTGTGTTTGAGGTATTTGTGCTGTATTGCAGCTTAATAGTCATCTGTCCCACGTTGCTTCACTTTTCATTTCAATGCTCATGTCTAGTTTGTAGTCTGTACTTCCAAGTCTGTCGTGTTGAAACGCATCGCCATTTTCCCATTTTCTTTATCTGCTAATCCTTGTGATTTCATATCTCTCCTTTCAACTCAACATTACAGCATTATCTCTCTTGACATGTTAATTGTTCTGCAGAAAGCGATTAAGGAAAAATGTTATGTTGTCCATTTTACGTTTCAATTAAGGGCTGATTTGCTGCTTCTACCCCCGAACGTACTGGCCTAATCACAAAACTAGGAAAGAGTTCCACAAAATACAAGTGGAGCAGATTTGGGATTTAAATACAGTCAAATTTTTGTTTGTGTCCGTGTCTGGAAGTGTACAGTGCACCCATGTCTTTTAAACTAAGCATTGGTATGTGACTTGTACTGACTGATGTGTTTGATCCATCCCTAGTTTTTTGCAGGGCAAACAAATATGGCTTATCCAGAGAATTTGTCATCCAGATTTGAGTAGGGGGTTTATTACCAGCCTCAAATCTTCATCTTTTACTTTTTCCAGTCCATTTCAAAAAAAGTAAAGCCAAGGGTACTGGGCTTTGGTTGTGCAGATTGCCATATGCTTTAAACTTTCATACGTTGAGGTCAATGGAAGCAGTGTTTTTAATTTTTCAACTTATTATTGGGTTGCTATCATAGATTTCGATCTGAATTTTTAAGCCTAACTGGAGGGAAAGGGTTGTTGACCTTTCCAATCTCTGAATCTTACTTGATCACAGATACTCAAGTGGCATTACTGGGACTTCAGATGATCTTTGGACAGTACTACACTCCAGTCTGTACTTCAATGGTGTCTAGTTGCTGATTCTGTACTGTGTTTACCTGTGGTCACAAGTGGTACCTCTTTTCACAATTGAGTAATTGAGACAGGTGGCAGGTTAGAAGTAGCCTTCTTTTAGATTTAGATAAAAGAAAAATATTGTGGATGTTGAAGATCTGAAATCCAAACAGAAAATACTGGAAATACTCAACAAGTCAGGTGGCATCCGTTGAGAAAACGTCCAGGTCAAGGCTTTAGGTCTACACTTCAAGTCAATGATCTTTCATCAGACGTTTCTATCTCCACGGGTATTGCCAGGCTTGTAGAGTATTTTTAGCATTTTGTGTTTTTATTTTGTATTTCCAGCAACTGCAGTATTTTGTTTTGTATGAAGACAAGTTGCATTGCAGCATGTTTCATTGTGGGCCTGTTCCTGTATGAATAGTTTATGCTTCATATTTGGCACAAACTCCCAGAAGATCTAAAATGCATTTTATGGCTTTACCCACTTCCAGCGTTTTGTGTGAGATTCCAGAAGTGGCGACAGCAACAGCAGAAGACCTTAAACAACCCACTCTTCTTGATTCCCAGTTATACAGTCATAGAGCTGTACAGCATGGAAACAGACCCTTCGGTCTAACTCATCCATGCCAACCAGATATCCTAAATAAATCTAGTCCTATTTGCCAGCATTTGGTCCATATCCCTCTAACCCCTTCCTATTCATATGCCCATCCAGATGCCTTTGAAATGTTGTAATTGTACCAGCCTCCACCACTTCCTTGAGCAGCTCATTCTATATACACAACACCCCTTGTGTGAAAAAGTTGCCCCTTAGGTCCCTTTTAAATCGTTCCCCTCTCATGTTAAACCTGTGCCCTCTAGTTTTGGATTCCCCTACCCTGGGGAAAAGACATTGGTAT